ATTTGATTAGTTAGATTAAAAATAATTCGGATATAATATTAAGACATACCAAATGCTTTAGGAGTTGAGTAAATAAAAAGATGATTATTAAATTAGAAATTTGATATTGTAATTAATTATATTCGTATTTAAGTATTTTAATTAACGACTGAATTAATAAGGTAATTTAATTAATAAGAAGTGATTAACGCGGATAATAAAATAATTGAATTAGTGAATTCGAAAAATAAAATAAAAGGGTAAAAATCGAGTAAAATAATTATTAAAGAGTAAGTGACTAATTATATCATCTTCATTAAAAAGGTGATTATTTAGAGACCGGAGTAGAAGAAGAGAATTAGGAGCACCCGGACTAGAGGTAAGTTTCTCTGCCAATCTAAAATTGTTTCCTCGTATTATATGCTTATTATGCATTATGTGAATAAGTGTGAATTGTTGAATTTTGTGTATGTGATTTTTGAAGAGATATTATATATATGGTAGTTGAGAAATATAAATTAAGTACTTTTGGGGTATTTAATATTTTTAAATACCTTCAAGACTTTTTAGAGAAATTGAGAAGTATTTTTGAAGTATTATTTATTGAAGATAAAATTTACATTTTTATAAGAGGTGAGCATCACGGGAGAAATCCGTGGTGTCGGTTTTCCACGTCCGGATAAATGTGGAGGGTGATTAGGTCTGCTACTACTAAGAAGTACAGTTTGAGTTTAAAGTGATATTTGGATCGATGATCCCTTTTAAGAAAGAAGTTATGGTAGTAGTAGTCCCTAGTCATTCAAAATATCTTATTCAGGGGTAGTTGGTAGACTGAGTCCCGACTACTCGTTACGACTTACTACTCGGGGGGCTTGGAATCCCTTTTAGGGGGTGTGCACACTTAAGGTAGTCGTTTCGTTTCCAACAGAGCAGTTGTGGTACCGACACTTGTTCGGGGTGGCCGTCCGTAACCACGGTCCACCGGGCTCTACCGAAAGGTTGAGCACCGCCCTTCTAAATTACTAGGAAGTTAGAGAAGAAGTGATTTTTGAGGAAATCAAAGAGAAGAGTTATTATGAAGTTTTATAGAGAAGTTGAGGATTTTTGTAAAGAAGTAGTCTTGAGAAAAATCAAAGTGAAAAGAATTTTGATGGTGTGAGTATTTTTATATATTATTATATAAAAATTCTATTTTTGTCAAACATGATTATTTTACGGGGTTGGGTAGTACTTACTTAGCTCTAAAGCTAATTTTTGTTTTCTTTTCCTTGTTTTGTTTCTGCACTTTATTTGTGCAGGTGAGGATGATGTTGTCGAGTGATGATTGCTTGCACGGCCGAGAGCGAGTTAGAAGTCACCTTAGTTATACTAGTCATGAAATAAACATTTACTTTTCAAACACTTTACTTTTATTAAATTAGTTGTTATGTTTTTAGTTGCCTGTGCATCCGGTTGAGAGATGACCGGATGTGGCGGTAACACCCATTTCCCTATTTTAGACTTCCGCTGTATTTCTTTAACTCTTTGATGAATAAATAAAGTATTTCTTTAAAATATATCATTGTTTTGGGTGGGAAAAACGGGGGTGTTACAAATTGGTAACTTTTATCCCAACTCAACTTATAAGCTTTATTAGACACTTTTATCTAAGAAAAAATGGCACAAATATTACCTCTCACCTTTTGTTGTACAAAAGTATGATCAAAATTAGCTTTAACATAAATGTGATCAATTAAACCCATCCCTTCCCGTTTCTTCTTGTGCGCTCGTAGACCAAACCCAGGAAGGGGATTTCCTTCTGCAATTCCTAATAGACATAACAACTCCCCAGAGCGGTTGTTGCCAGGAACAATATATCTCCCCCACTCCTCCACGGACAGAGCCTCGCCTTCGCCCTTAACGGATAGAGCCGCCGCCATCGTCCTCCGTAGACTGAGCCGCCGCCATCGTCCTCCGCAGACAGAGCCGTCGCCATCGCCCTCCGCGGACAGAGCCATTTCCATAGTGTTCGCTGGCCTCACCCCGTCCTCTGCCTACGCACTTGTTCGGAGTTATCTTTTTCCCTACCGTCCAGATCTGTGACGACATCGTACCTAGGGTGTCTAGGCAGTGCGGCGGACGGCGAGGTGCAACACCAGCGGTGGTCCAGATGGAAACAGCTAGAGTTGGGGTAGGTTGGGGTATTTGCATGGTTTGGGATGGGATTTGGGCCAGGGGAAGGTAGGGACGGACTGGGGAGGGGGATTTGGGGGTTGACTCCGCTGTGGATGGTGGGCTAGGAGCTGTCAACGGTGGCGGTAAGCCAGGTGGCCAGATGGCGGTGGTTGGAATGTTACGGTGGTGATAATGACGGTAGGTGGTGGGCATGTATCAGACATGTATTGGTGTTTCATTGTTGTCATTATTAGCCGGTCATGGTTGGGGTTGGGGAGGATGAGATAACTGTGTTAGCGGCGGTGTGGTGACACTTTTTGGAGCGGAAATTATGGAGGTTGTAAAGCATTTTGACCGAAGGAAGTCACCGGAAAATTTTCGGTGACACGGTGATAGGTTTATTGGCGGCAGTGACACGTTTATCAGTGACTGTAACATTCGAAAAGTGACATGAAAATCACTAGTGACATTAAAAAGTGACATAAAAATCTGATAGTGACATTATATTTTCCAAATATATGACTTTTCTAGTCACATTTTTGTCCTATTGAAAAATGGTCACTTTTTTAGAAATTGGTATTAATTTAGTAATATTCAAGTAAAAAGTCCTTTATCTAATACGGCGTACATAGTATTAAACTTTTGATTTGTGCAGTAATAAAAAATGGCAATTAATGTTGAATAATAAAGTGCAATTTTTAATGAACTGACCATTAATAACGTTGTTTGAATTGGCTAAATTTATAGTGGAGAACTACATTAATTTTGACATATAATAATAATAATATAATAATAATAATAATAATAATAATGGTAATAGTAATGGTAATAGTAATACTAATAGTGATAGTAGTAGTAATAATAGTAGTGATAGTAGTACTAATAGTAGTAGTCATATTAGTATAGTAGTAGTAATAGTAATAGTAATAGTAATAGTAGTATTAATAGTAGTAGTAATAATAATACTAATAATAATAATAGTAACAATAATAATAACAACAGTAATATACACATACTTTTCTCACAAGTAGATACAAATTCAAACTTTTAGGTAAGAATCTTGCCATTTGGTATCACTGAAATTAATTACATCTTGTGAAATTGATGAATTTGTAACTGAGTTGGATTAATATGTTGAATTGTGAAAAACTTAATTATAATATGCGTTTAAAATATAAGGAGTATTATTCTATTGATATAAGTAATAAAAATTTACTGGAAATGGTTAAAATGGTCATTAAATTGAAAAAAGTACAAATAATTGAGACAATGTTATTACACAGTAGACAATTCAATCCGTCATTATACGGAATAGTTAAAATGGTCGATCATTACACATTTGTTGACAAATAAATCTGATAACGACCATTAGTAGCACGTTGGTTTTTTTGCCCCTGTCCCAATCTAAATCGATGTGGTGCAAGGGGTAGGAGTCCAGCTTGGCTTACACGTAGGATTACACGCCAGACTATACATATACATCGTACAAAATAAAAGAGTTATCTGTATTATTGACATTTTATATAATTTTAAAATGTTTATGATACAAATATTTTTTTTATATGCGTGAAAATTGATTTTCTTCATAAAACGCCGGTCAAATTGTTTGTACACAAATAATTTAACCAACATGTAACCCGACGTGTAAAAACTGACATAGCGTGCGATAATTGGCTACTTTATTATTCTCCCCAACTGATAGACTCTTAGGGTGTGTTTGGGAGTTTAAGGGTGAGGGAAGAGGAAGGCTTTGAAAGAGAGTAGAGAGAAGGGAGGGGGGGGGGATAAGTGAATGGATTTCCGGCCTCCTCTTGTTTGGAAGTTGCAAATTTCAAAAGAGAAGGGTTTGGGGACTTGAGGGTTTTCAGCGGCGGAGAAATGAAGTGAGTAGCAACTCATAAAGATTTTATATAGAAGCTGTTTTAGTTTCAGAGGATAAATCTCTCATTTGCGTAGCTAGACCTTATAAAACCCTCAAATCGGGGGAATTAGAAAACGCGAATTTTGGAGGGTTTAGAAGGATTTTATAACACCCCGAAACCTTTCCCTCATATTATTTAAACTCTCAAACACAAATAGAAGGGTTTTTTCCCTCGCATGCGTTCCCCTCCTCTCCAAAAACCAACTCTGAAAAACACTCTTACGCTACACCAGTACAACCTACAAGCAATAAGTTGTTACATTCCTGATTCCATTGATGGTACAAATGAGATTACACCTTTAATTAAACTTTAACACTCCATTTTTTTTATATAATTTGATGCAATGTTTTTCAATATTTTATTTAATTACTTTTGTGATTAAATTATAAGGTGAAATTTGGTAGACGTTTCTACACTTCCTGTTCGAGTTTTCAAATTTAATCAAAAAAAATCTACACCCGGAAGCACCTCAAATGCAGGCGGCCGAGTGACGGTTCCTATCAGGCCGACATGAAAGGATCATTCCCCTCCGTCAATATAAGTTAAATAATCTATTTCTATTTGTACAATTAGAAAAGTCAATTTTCACGTTTTTGGTGTTGGTTCAAAGTGTATGAATAACTATTTTAAGTACTCCCTCCATCCCTTAAAACTTTGCCATCTTTCCTTTTTAGAACGTTCCAAAAAACTTAGCCACTTTTTCTTTTAATCAATTATTTGTGGTTTCTGTTATTTCTCTCTCCTCTGCACAAATCTCAACCACACAATTTTTACTTTATTGTTCTCTGTGCCGCTCTACTTTGGCAAAGTTTTAAGGGACGGAGGTAGTATAAAAAATCCACCTATAAAAAAATCACATATGCATGGCATCGCATAAAAAATCACATGTCCACATACCCTCGACCTTTAATATTGTGAAGTGATCATCAAGTCAAATCCACCTATAAAATAGTCTGTAGCTCCTTCATTCCCACAACACCATAATAAAGATCGAGAGAAACAACTACTTGAAATTTAAGCAAAATGTCAATACAACAATTGGTTGATACGCTGACGTCCATGAAGAAGTTACATGGGACGGTGGTTTTAAAGCGCAAGAATATTTTGGGCTTGAATGACGTTCCTGCTTCTGTGGTTGATAACGTGAGTGATATTCTAGGTCAAAAGGTCTCCATAGAACTCATCAGCATCACCCAAATGGATCATGGTATGTACTACGAACTCATTAGCATCTCCATCAAGGGCGGTGCCAGGACACTGGGTTAGGTTGGGCCGGATTAAGCCGGTATAAAGAATATTTTTTGAAAAGAAATTAAACGGAATTTTTTACCATAAAAATGTAGACATTTTTAAAATTTAGGCTGATTCGGGGCTAGGGTTGACCCCCCTAGCTACGTCCCTGATCTCCATAAAACTCATCAACTACTCTGACAGTAATTCGGTAAGAAGAATATTAATTTTGAAAAAACTTTCGTCTAAACAAGATATATATTGGGATGAAAAAATATAAAAACATCACATTTATTAATTTTGAACGGTATGATCCGATATTTTTCGATTCTCAAAATCTAGAATCGATCTCATACCCGTTTTAAATGGTACGGATTCGATTCGAGATAAAAGTATATTGAACTGTTTAACTATTTGTATATTTTGTTCGAAAAATTCTTAGTGTACATGAGTTGTACTATACACAAAGTGTACACAAAAACCTCTAATTAACTATGCACACATGCAAACCAGGCATTCCAGCTCAACTGGTTATGAGGTTACCGTGCCTAATGGGAGGTCTCGAGTTTAAAACCCGCTAGGCACACAAGAGTTTGAAACTCAATGGAGTGAGTTTCAGCCCAAATTACTCTAGGCCCTCCAACCCTCCTCCCCCAGCCCCCTGAAGTAAAAAAAAGAAAAAAAACTATGCACATGCAATTCATTTAAAAAGAAGCACACCGGTGGGCGTAACTCAACTGGTAGCAAGGGAGTGCCACAAGGGTTAGTTTCCGGGTTCGAATCCTGACAACTGCAATGAGAGGTTACTATGCTAAAATTGCATAGGGCCTCTGGAAGTATCAGGGAGAGAGCCTCATCTCTATCTTTCAGGTTAAGATTATAATCCAATTTACATCTTCCCAATGTATCGTCAGATCGAAGTTCAAGGATCTTTGGGAATGGGGCATCATCCTTTTTAGAAAAAGAAGATGCGGAAGGATCACGATTTGATATCAAAATCCCTCTGATTGTTACACGGCAATGTACCTCTGCACCAAGAATGGCTCATTCCGTACCGTACTATTATAGATGCCTTAGTATTCATGTCCCACCTTAATTTTACATGGAAGTAACGTAAAATAGAAAAGGAAAAGATGTGGATCGGACGGACACCCACCCCATTTCAGTTTCGGCCAGAAAATGAGAACTAGGGGTGCAAACGAGCCAAGCCGTTCGTGAGCCGCTCGTGGATCGCTCGGGAAAAGCTCGACTCGAGTTCGGTCATATTCAAGTTCGGCTCGAGTTCGGCTCGACTCGTATACTAAACAAGCTCGAGTCAAGCCTCTTAATTTTAGGCTCGTGGCTCGCGAGCCGGTTCGTGAGCCTACATGTTGTATAATAATTATATATATAATATTTTTGAAATAGTTATTCTATTTAGAATTACTCTAGTTTTAATACTTATGACTACGTATATTTTAATAGACATAATAAAATATAGCATTATATATTATTATAATCATTATCTATAATAATTATAATACTACACATATAACACGAAGTAAGTATTAGTTTATTCGTAAAAATAAAAAAAGTATTAGTTTTTTCGTTAGTTCACTGGGAATAAGAATAAAACAATTTGACATCAAAATTTACACAAACAGGTTGGTAGACGGGTTGGAATTGCCCTCTTAGGATTCATAATCAGCCCAGGTTCGAATCCCCTCCAAGGTTTTCTTTTGTGTACTCCTTCGGATTTCAACACTCAAACTTGTTTTTAGTTTTTAATTTCTATGCTTCCCACACCGGAAAGTGAGGAGTAGTTTCCTCTACCAGCCACCTATAAATTAGCTCATATCCATCCCAATAATTGTGAACCAACCGAGCAGCATGCCATCAAAGCTTAATAAAATGGCTAAGTTTTCGAGTTTCGAGTCAATCTCGAGCGGCTCGTGAGCTCAAGTAAAGCTTTCGAGTCGAACTCGAGTTTCAATTTTTTAAGCTCGATCGAGCTCGAGCCGAACTCGAGCATATAAAAATTTTTCGAGCTCGAGTTCGAGCATATGTGAGTTCGGGCTCGGCTCGGCTCGATTACACCCCTAATGAGAACTGGTCCCAATTCCAATTAAAAACAGGCCGGTCCCCTAGCTTGTACTGCGTACTACGTAGTTCGGTCCTGGGACGGGTATCGACCGCTTGTCAACATCAATCCCATTAATCTTTATTGATCAAGTCTATAAAAAAAAATATTGGGTCGTCCAATTGATCAAGTCTAAAAAATGTTGGGTCGTCCAATTAATCTTGGGTTTTTTCCTTGAATATTACTAAATTTAATCTGATTTCCAAAAATGTGATCATTTTTCAAAAAAAACAAAAATGTGACTAAGAAGGTCACATATTTAGAAACATGATGTCATCATTTTTCAAATATCAAAACTCAAACTTAACTAAGTGAACACCAAAGAGAATAAAAGAGGATTTTAATTTTCATTTAATAAGAAGAGTTTAAAAATTGTTGTTATGTGGTAACAATGAAGGTTGTTCATCATTATAGTAGCAAGATATGACATCCACTTCAAAACTTTCAAAACTTAAAAAATGCATCGAGTTTGCATGTATAGATATAAAAACATCATTACAGTCGATTTGCTTGTAGTATATTTTACAATAAATCTAATAGTTACAAATATCATGAAGATAATTACAAGTTATTTGATTTATTTTATATTTATAAAATTTATGTGATGTAACAAAACTTGATTTGTAAAAATGAGTTTAACATATTAAACCTCGTTTGCAATATTAATTACTTTTGTTTTCGTTGGTTAAATTAGAATTGTTGGCTAAATATTATTTGGCACTACGATTGTTATTACTATCATTACTACTACTACTACTATTATTATTATTATTATTATTTTTAATAACTGTTCATTAACTGTTCCCTGCACATATTTTTTATATGAACCAGGAACCGATATGTTAGTAACAACGATAAACTGAACCTTTAACAATTAATACCACATTTGTAAGAATTGAACCGAAACTAATTATAATGGTTCAGTTCCAATAGTTATAATAGTTCCGATTTGTCGGTTTGTAGAACCGAACAGATTTTTCGATTTTAGGAAAAATGGAAACCAAAAAATGTTAATGGACAAATAAAAACTAAATTCAAAAGTAGATACGTTAAGTTTAATTTAAAAAGGACAATGTTAAAGAACATCCAAATCAACTAACTAAGAGCTTCAAAATTGAGAGCATGTGTACAGTGTACTGCCATTAATCATCCTTCATTTGACATAAAAATAAGAAATATTAATAATTAATACATCAATAAGGAGTAATGACTGCCATACATGATGTCATGATTAACATATGAAATAAAGTTAGCCACTTATTAATAAAAAATATTAATAATTAATATATCAATGAACTGCGCTACCATAATAATTAATACATCAATGAACCTGAATGAGCATCCATCTAAATAACATTTAAGTTAGAAGTTGAATTCATCTAAAAGAGCATTATACTTAATTGCTTACACAGAATCAGACACTTCACAAAACCATCTATAGAACTCTATTGTAAAAGATACGGAGTAGTTTTTTTTAAATTCAATTTTGTTTATCTTTATAATATTTTTCTTACAAATCTGCTGACCTTAACATCTTTGAGGTGGCACATTAATCAGCTTATAATAGAAATACTAGTTTTACAGAATTGAGTCACAAAGAATTTCCAGAATTGCTGCTCCAACTTAAACTTAATTACTTAAATATATTAATATAGCAAATGTTTGCTATGTGCACAAACTACCTGTGCAAATGTCTGAAAAATCATTGCAGATTCCTCTCTGCACAAGTTTCTTATGAAGAATGGGAAATCAAACAAATACACATTGAAATAAAAAGTGCTCACTTATTTATAAAATAAGAATGCCCCTGCACAAGTAAGACTTGCCCCTGTTATTTATAAAATAAGAATGCCCCTCTTATTAAAGTTCCCACTTTCCTTTTTGGGATGTCCCTTATTTAAGTTCACACTTCCATTTTAGGAAACAAAACAGTGCAAAACAGTGCAAAACAGTGTCAAACAGTGCCAAACAGTGCCAAAAAGTGCACTCCAAAGTCAAGTCAAATTCATTTTCTTAATATGTGTGAAGTCAAACTAAGAACTTAAATAAGAACCGGAAGAAGTAAGAGATGACTTAGCCCTCATATTGTATTTACATATATTCAGAAATGTTCAAGCTCTCAAGCTTATTTTATTCTCATGCTCGGATACCTTAAACTAAAAATCCAATCCACTGAACCATTAATCTACCATCCATCCATAAGACCATAACTGTTAACTAATACTAATTACTCCCGTGTATGTTTGTATGAAAGAACTCAACTATTTTATTGAAGGTTGATTTCAGAGAAATAAATTAGAACCATGTCTCTCACTAGTAGCCCTATCATTCATGGCACTCTATTCAGAATAATCAGTTTCATAGCTGCTTGAACGAATGAACCAAACATAATCGATTAGGTAGGTAAATATTACTTACCTGCAATTTAGAACGGAGATGGTAGCCGGAGCGATGGTAGACGACAGAGCGCAGCTGATAATCGGCGCCTTCCGCAGCGGTTCTGCGTAGTCCGCACTCCGCCCTTCCGCAGTGGCCTTACTTGCTTTAAGTTGCTCCAAAATAGATGACTTGGGCAATTGGGCCAAATATTGGACTTGGGCAATTGGGCCAAATATTTGAATAGAGAACTTGGGCTTGTCAAAAATTTATATAATAAAAATAATAATTTTATTAAATAATACTCCCTCCGATTCTTAAAGAACTTTACACTTTCCTGTTTGGGAAGTCTCATATTAAACTTTACACTTCCTTATTTGGTAAACAATCTACACCAAAACATTGTCAAACAGTGCTAAACAGTATCAAACAGTGTACTCTACAGCGAGGTCAAATTATTTACTTAATATGTGTGAAGTCAAAGTATAAAATTCATTAAGAACCGGATGAAGTATATAATATCGGTTTGGTTCGGTTCAACCGAGTTTAAGCATATCAAAACCGGTACCGAACCGATGTAGCCTTAGGGTCCCAATTTTCGGGTCCCAATTTTATGGGTTCTGTTCGTGTAGGTTTTTCTGTTTTTCCTTTCAAATTGCCAGGCTAGGTTCTACCGTCCCCTTTCCAAAATCTCATCCCCACCTAATATTGTACTCCATAGTTTGTACTATTCATATTCCTGATTAATTTCCATTTCGAATTTGCAGCAAATGGATCAATAGGAAAGCGCAGCAAGGCAGCATACTTGGAGAATTGGGTGCTCAAAAATGTCTTCTTGGCTGAAGGCGAGTCAGCATTCCATGTTACCTTCGACTGGACTGAAGATTTTGGAATTCCGGGAGCATTCATCATCAAGAACAATCATTCCAATGAGTTCTTCCTCAAAACCCTAACCCTCGAAGATGTTCCCAGTCATGGCCAAGTCCACTTTATATGCTTCTCCTGGGTTTATCCAGCTAGTAAGTACGACTACGATCGCGTCTTCTTCTCAAACCAGGTATTAATTGCATCTGCCTTCCTGGGTTTCCATAATGTACTTTGTTTCAATTTTGACTATCTTCATCAATTTTCAAATTTTGCTATAACACGTGTTTGATGATTTCTGTACATTTGAATCTATACTTGACGGTCTCAATCTATTAATTCATTTAGGCGTATCTGCCAAGCCAAACGCCTGCTGCATTGCAGCAATACAGAGATAATGAATTAGTGAACTTGAGAGGATCTGGAACCGGTGAGCTTAGGGAATGGGATAGGGTGTATGACTATGGTTACTACAATGATCTTGGTGAGCCGGATAAAGGTCCTGAGTATGCCCGGCCAGTCTTGGGCGGGAACTCGGAGAGTCCCTATCCTCGACGAGGAAGGACCAGCAGACCACATACAAAGACAGGTAACATTTGTGCGTGTGTGTGTAAAGTAGCTTTAAAAAAATGTTTCCATATTTTGTTCATGAGCATTCGTTCTCACTTCTCAGTGCCTCATTCTTAAAAAAACTCCCTTGTAATCGATGCCAGATCCTAAATGCGAGAGCAGAGTTCCACTCATTAGCAGCTTAGATCTATACGTTCCAAGAGATGAGAAACACGGGGAAGTGAAAGTAGCATATTCTCTTGCCCATGCATTGATGATTCTGCCTCACTTCTTTCACCCTGAATTCATGTCTTTGTTTGATTCGACCCCAAATGAGTTTGACAGTTTTCAAGATATACTTAGCCTCTATGAAGAAGGCATCAAATTGCCTCAAGGGCCCTTGCACCAATTCATCACTGATAACGTTCCCTTTGAAATGCTGAAAGAAATCTCTAGTGCTGGAGAAGGTCTCTTTAAATTCCCCAACCCACAGGTTATCCTAGGTATTTGAAAACCTTCATTTCATTTCCTTAAAAAGTTTTGTTTCTTCCTTAATGACACACATTTCTAGTTCTTCATCTTTGAATGCTGCAATAGAGGATAAAACTGCTTGGAGATCAGATGAAGAATTTGGAAGGCAAATGCTTGCTGGAATGCACCCTGTCATTATTAGTGGGCTACAAGTAAATTCATTTCACTTAATGATTTAGCTATTTAAAAGCCTTGCCAAATGAAAATGAAACAAGGAAAATTTACTAGGATATGACTAAAACTCAATGAGTTTTCCTATCTATGACCTAACTAGTTTTTGGACTTTTGTATGACAAAAAATCCCCAAAAAAGAAAATTTCGTTTATATTTAAATGTTGAATGACGAAAATACCGTTATTTAAAATATGTGCATTTTGCACTAATTTCCTCCAATTAGAATCATTGCACTTTTATTGTATTTACTGCACGACATTACTGCATGACATTACTGCACATTCGGTAATAATCACTGCACTTCCGTCAAAATGATTCTCTTCTCATTCACTTTACGGAATTATTTATAGTTTTTATTTTTTATTTTTTAGATTTAATAATTTTATTATTTTACGTCTAATTAAGGCAGTGTTTGCATTTGATTTTTTAAAGCTCTTTTCAGCTTTTTGATTGATAAAAGCTAAAATATGTGTTTGGAAAGACAAATTTAAGCTTATTAGGAAGTGCTTTTGGGCAAAAAGCTCAAGCAACCATATACATGCTTTTAATAGCTTCTTGGTGTTTTGGTAAATATTTCAAACTTTATGGATATTAATTAGGTTGAACATTTCAATTATAAACCCAAATTACCTTCCTTCTTCCGTCTGAGCTGTCTCAACATGTCCTGCCATTTTCTTCATTTCGCAAACTTCATGGGGCCTTGCCCCATCCTCCTTCTCTTTCATACGGTATTATACACACATATATAGATAAATACAAATACGGAGTATATAGTACGGAAGGAGGCCATATATAAGTTCTCGGAAACACCAGATTTTTAGAATCTTGCCGATGCAGGTCATAGGCCATAGGTTAAACCGGCTACATCTAAGCATAAGCATCAGATTTTTAGAATTTTTTCTTGAATCCAATTTTTTTTGGAACATAAACACCAACAGCAGAACACCTTTTCTTCATTTTCACCGATCTTCCTCTGTTTTCGTGAGAGCTCTGGACATATATAGAACATAATATTACAAGGGCATTTTTGTACTTTTAAAAACATATTACATCACAATCATTTTTTCACCAAACACTTCAACTTATACATTTTAATTTAAAATCACTTTTATTTTCAAACACTATCTACTTTTACTTTAAATCACTTTTCCAATAACCTCTTAAATAAATCACTTTTGATAAGCAGAAGCAAACACAAACATAGCTCAAGTATATTATGTTTCATGGCGAAATTACTGCTCCGTGTTACTGCACTACCGGCTTTAATAGTTTAATGCATTCATTCACTGCCATGTACAACATATATATTGTCATACTCAACAATATATATTATGATGTTCACTGCCCATATTGACTGCACATACTTGATGCTCACAAACGCTAATTTTAGAAACTCCAACTTTCAAAAATAGAAAAGACAAAAAATGAGAATGGTGGGCCTAAGATTGTAGCGGATCCAAAGCAAGTAGCAGACCCAGAGTCTGCACACATATGAAAAAATCCAAACCTAATTTTAATTGGAGTATTCATCTACGGTAGTGTTCTTCGAGTCATTCTATTCCACCCATGGAGGCGGACAGTCGTGCGGCTAGATGTGAGCTGTGAGTTGGAGTGCGGCCGTGCAGTTAGATGGCGGCGATGGCTGGTTGGGGACAAAGGGTGGCACCTGGGAGGAGGCGGCTTGTTGGGGACGAAGGGCAGGGTCTGGGAGGTGGCGTGCGGAGCTTGGGACGATGGCGGCGCACATGGCTCTTCAGCAGCTAGACGGCGGTGGCAGGCGGCCGTGCAGCGGGACAGTGGTGGGAGGCGGGTGTGCGGCGGTCGTGGGAGGCGGGTGTGCGGTTGGAGAAAATGCGTAGAAGATTAGAGTTTTATAGCATATTCTAAAGGGTATATTTGTTCATAAAATTAATTTATTAATCAATTAAACACGAAATTAATTAAAAATTACTACCTCCGTCCCGTTGGAAGGTTCCCATAGCATAACAGCATGGTTATTTAGACAATAATTAAAGGAAGAACTATCAAATAAGCCTTCGAACTTTCATAAAAAGTGCAAATAAGCCCTTTAATAGGAGGCTGTTCGACGTCGCCATTTGGAGCGGTTTCCGGTGGAACTTTTTGATGATTTTTTTTAAGAAACTTCTTCATTAAGTCTAGTTTATTCATACCAAATTTCAGCTAAAAATTCAATCCGGAAGGCAGTCAAATGAATTTTTTAAGATAACTGCGCAGTTAGACACCGCAATATATTTCAGAAAATCATTTGACTGCCTCCTCGATTGAATTTTTAGCTGAAATTTGGTATGGGTAAACTAGACTTAATCAAGAAGATGCTTAAAAAATTTCATCAAAAAAATCCACCAGAAACCGCCCCAAATGGCGACAGCCGGACAAAGCCTCCTGTAAAAGGGCTTATTTGCATTTTTTAAGAAAGTTCGAGGGCTTATTTGATAGTTCTCCCATAATTAAATAAAGTACGTCGAGTATATGTTGTAATGTAGTTAGTATTGATAATTGTGATGTTATAAATGTATATTTTTTAATATTTAATGATTAATTTGTCACCTGAAATGGGAACCTTTATATGGGACATCCATAAAAGGAAAGTGGGAACCTTCTAATGGGACGGAGGGAGTAGAAATTTAAATATTATTTTGGGAATGAAACTAGTTAGGTCATAGATTGAGAAACTCATGAGTTTTAGTCATACCCATGGTAATGTTCTACAAATAGTTTATGGGCATAGGTTAAAGATTGATCCTCTTGTTATCTGACTTTTTTTAACAAACTAGGAGTTCCCACCAAAAAGCAAACTAGACCGCAAGGTGTACGGAGACCATAGCAGTAAAATTACCAAAGACCACATCCAGAAAAACCTAGACAGTTTTTCAGTCGAGGAGGTAATTTTTTTGTCTTGTTGCTTGCACTTGTATCTTCTAGAACCATTTGGTTGCCACTTTTTTATAAATATATTAAACAATGCCATGTTATTTTTTACAGGCAATTAAGAATAAAAGGCTATTCATAGTGAACTACCATGACACACTTATGCCACACCTCAGGCGCATTAATGCAACAAAGAACAAGGTATATGCCTCAAGAACCCTGCTTTATTTGAAAACAGATGGAACTTTGAAGCCAGTAGCAATTGAGCTAAGTTTGCCGCATCCACTTGGAGATAAATTTGGTACCGATAGCAAAGTATATACACCATCTGAAAATGGGGTAGATTATGAGTTGTGGCAGTTGGCTAAGGCTTATGCTGCTGTGAATGATGCGGGCTTTCATCAGCTGATCAGCCACTGGTATGTATATTTTCTGTTGTTGAAAAAATAGAAAACTTTGTTATTGTATCTATTACTCATTCCTTTGGTTTTGTTTGTGAATGTCTATCACAGGTTGAACACTCATGCCGTAATTGAGCCATTTGTGATAGCAACAAATAGGCAATTGAGTACACTTCACCCAATACATAAGCTTCTGCATCCGCATTTTCGTGACACAATGGCTACAAATGCTTTGGCTCGTCAGGTCCTGCTTAATGCTGAAGGAGTTCTTGAGAAGGCAGCTTTCTTTGACAAATATGCCATGGAAATTTGTGCTGTAGTTTACAAGGATTGGGTTTTTACTGATCAAGCACTCCCAGCTGATCTTGTTAAGAGGTATGCCATGATTTCAATATAGAACTTCTTGTCTCACTATTGTCTTACTGTATTTAGAGATCTTAATCCCAGAAGCAATTTTTTAAAAGGAAGTTTATTTTAAATTACTCAATCCTGTTACAGGGGTGTTGCTGTTGAGGACTCATGCTCCCCACATGGTGTTCGCCTGCTAATTGAAGACTACCCATATGCTGTTGATGGGCTAGAAATATGGTCATCTATCAAAGCATGGGTTGATGAATATTGCAAGTTATATTACAAGTCAGATAACATGGTTCAGAAAGATGCTGAACTCCAGGCTTGGTGGAAGGAAGTCAGAGAGAAAGGACATGGTGACCTGAAAGAAAAGCCATGGTGGCCTAAAATGCAGACAATCCAGCAGCTTATTGATTCGTGTACCATTATTATCTGGATTGCCTCAGCACTTCATGCTGCTATTAACTATGGACTATACTCTTATGGTGGTTATCCCCCTAATCATCCTCTGATCAGCCAAAGGTTCATGCCAGACCCTGGAACTGCTGCATATAAAGAACTTGAAGCTGATCCGGATAAGGTTTTCCTAAAAACAATCACACCTCAGTATCAAGCATTGCTTAGCATGTCCCTTAATGAACTTCTGTCAAGGCACACTCCTGATGAACTTTACCTGGGGCAAAGAGAGTGCCCTGAGTGGACAAAGGACAAGGAAGCACTTGATGCATTTGTACGGTTTGGAAAGAAGGTTGACGACATCGGAGATCACATAATAAAATTGAACACAGAGGGAAAACTGAAGAACAGGACAGGACCTGTAAAGATCCCATACACTTTACTCTTCCCTTCCGGTAAACCCGGACTCACTGGCAAAGGCATTCCGAACAGTGTCACAATCTAAAGCTTCAAAGTTCTGCATGTATGCTTTGCCTTTGGATTGTTAATATGTCCCCCTGTAAGCAGTGTTGTGTCTGTGCTCGTGTTCATGTTACTATACCAATAAATTGCTTTGCTCTGCATACAATGCTATATTATTATCCATAGAAGAAATTATCTGATAACGAATAAACTCAAATGCAACATTAGTAAATTTAAAAAAAAATGCTAAAGGTACCCCAAAATGGGGTACCTCATTTTTACCCCACCCTACTGTGTGGCCACAAATGGGGCAACATATTTAAGTGTGGCACCACTTAAATGTCTTGCCCCATTTGTGGCCACACAATAGGGTGGGGTAAAAATGGGATACCCCATTTTGGGGGTACCTATAGCATTACTCAAATTTTAACTTTATGGTTTATGTTACTGGGAGTTGCTGAGCACAATTTTAATTTTCATTCCAAAACAAAAGTCCTTATAGTTTTGGACTTGTTTGTTATGCTTCTTATTTTGACTTGTTTATTATGATTCTTATTTTGACTTGTTTATTATGATTCTTATTTTGACTAGGGATGGACTCGGTTCGGGCCTTGAACTGGCCGGGCCTCGGTTCAAGGTATGGGAGGCCCGGAACCGGCCCGCGTAACCCCCGGGTCCGGGCTGGGCCGGGCCTCGGTTCTATTTTTTTTTTGGCTTTTCCTAGTTAACCCCCAACCCTCACCCCCAAACCAACCCTAACCACCTCAAATGGCCCAAAATACCATACTCAACCCAAAAACTTAAAAAAAATTCAAAAAAAAAAAATTGGCCCGGCCTGGGCCCGAACCGGCCGGGCCGGTTCACCTTTTGAAGGGCCTGAACCGAGATCCCACCGGGCCGGGTGGCCCGAACCGTCCAACCAACCGGTTCACCGGGCTGGTCCAGGCCCGCACAGTAGCGGGCCGGTCCGGTTCCGGGCCGGTTGGCCCGGCCCGAGTCCACCCCTAATTTTGACTTGTAATCTAGTTTTTCTACAAAAGGTGTGAACGCATTTTAACTAAATTTGATGAACATGACAATGGTGATGTCTTGAGGCCTATCTTGTGAATATGATAGGCCTCCGGATTTCACGACTCCCTGTCTCCCCATCATTTCCTTAAAACGAGGGATCAGATGTCTTGAGGCCTATCCTCTACAATGGCTTAGTGGGAGTCTTGAATCAGCAGAATTAGGTGACCAGCGGAGAACAACAAAATCTAGTTGGCTGGTTAGATATTAGCCTCAATTATCGGCATGTGTTGGATTCAGATTTTCATTTTTTTTGTTTTTGCTTTGGATTTTCAATTGAAAAAAAAAATCCAAATCAATATTGTTGATTGCAATCATTTCACATATCTGAAATAGAAGAAAGGGATTACATTAAGTATTTATCTCCACTAGACGCAATACCCGTGTGATGCACGGGTACATCTAGAGCTGATCAATAACTTGTTTAAAATTAACTTTTATTTTGATGATACGTAATATGAAAATGCAGTTATTTACAAAAAATATAGCAGAATAAGTTGTTTTAAACAATAACTTGTTTAAAATTAACTTTTATTTATATGTTGTAACCTTGATTATATATTGGTAGTTTGTAGGAAAAAGAAATATATTAACAAAATAAGTGGATGAGAATCTTCTAATGGGACGGAGGTAGTATATAATAACTATCACAATATGTAGAATATAGAGCAATCAAACAATTTTAATATACTAAGCAATCAAAATTAAAGCGTGTTTTATTTTTAATAGCGTAAATCTCACGCCTCGGACCGCATCCGAGCCACGTAGACAACCATCGTACAACCCGATAAGAGCGATCTTAGTTCATCCTTATTGAATCATACAAGGCGTGTGATAGATTATATTGGCAAACTGATTAGTAAACACATACAATCAACATCAATATCATAATCAAACAAATGCGGAAGTAGAATGTTTGATACTTAGCCACACGTGGCAAACACGGGCGGAAGTCGAACATTCTACTTCTCATATCTAGATGGATCATAAAGTCATTGGCCAATGCAAAGATATATTCGTTTTGGATATCGAATATGATTGAGAGACAAAGACTGAGTTATTGGGATAGACACAATATAATGTTCTAGACTTAGTTGAATGTTCGCTGAATAAAAGGACCGTATCACTATGAGCTCTATATTACAGGGAGTTTGTATAGTCTTCGCAAACGTCCTTATATATTAAGTTTGTCTGGAGAATCGTCTACCTTCCGATTGAATTGTTAGACAGAATTAAATATTATTGATTGGATTAAATAATATTTAATTCATAATACTAAAAATGGATTAAATATTAATTAGATTAAACATGTTTAATTCATGAAATTGAAGGAGAGGTGGTTTAAATGTTGGTGATTTATATTTAGAGAGCTCATGAATGAAAACCCTAAACCTACGGCGGAACCGCCTTCGCCGGCACAACCACCACCTGCGGCCAGGAATGCTTGGATTGGAAACAAACGTTCTTTTGTTTCAGTTCTTCTCAATAAGGAAGATGCTACACTTTCTACGACTCAATCACGATTCAAAGGTATGCCGACTATATCGTTTTCGGAGGATGCTATTCAAATTCTTGCGGATAAGCATAAACGATCGTTAGTTGGATATTTTTTCAAAGGGCATCCGCCTATGAATACTATTCACATATCCTTTGAGATCATAGGTTTTAAAGGGGGCTTTCATATTGGTCTGTTGGAGAAAAAACACGTCCTAATCAGATTTGACTTAGAGGAAGATTACATCCGATGTTGGAATCGTCAGATATGAGATATTCATAGAAATATAGTGAGGGTAACCAAATGGTCCCCGGATTTCAAACCGAACGTGGAATCTCCAGTCGTTCCAGTTTGGTTGACATTAGAAGGTTTGCCCATTCATCTACAAGATAAGCGGGCTATGTTTGAAATTGCCAAACTGATAGGGAAGCCCCTCAAGCTTGATATAGCTACAACTACTTTGGCTCGGCCATCTGAGGCTCGGGTTTGTGTTGAATTGGACCTTACTAAGGAAATGCCTAATAAGGTCTGGATTCAGATGGGCAAGACAAGATTTTCACAGCCCATCACTTACGAATACATGCCTCAATACTGTCTTGCTTGTTTTCACTTAGGACATGAGGCCAATAAATGTCCTAAGAGGGCTACTGAAGGGGGTATCACTCCCTAGGTTGAGCCTATGGCCAAGGGGTCAGTCTGGGTGGCTAAGAAGCAACATGTAATCAAAGAAAACCCCAAAGAGGACTCTAAGAACATTACCGAGGCTATTACCACAGGAAAGGGTACTAAACAAATTACATCAGGTAAAACTTTACAAGATAAGGGGAAAGAAATTGTTGTGTTCCAGCCAGCACCATCATCTGCCCAGTATCTGCCATCATCTTCACAGGCTCACTCTATTCGAGAAATTATTGATTCAGACACTAACACTGAGGAAGTTTTTCATGAGCAACCACCTATTGGAAGTAAGCAAATCAGTAAACCCAGTGTCAATAACTGTTCAGTCAATATTGAATTAAATGGGCTTACTAAATCCAGGCTTTGTAGGGATATTATAGATGACTGTCTATTACTCAATCAGGAGAAAAAATATGAAATTGACCTAGAACTTGCATCCAAAGAATATAGGTCAGATTCAAAAATTCCTCACAGAAAAGAGAGCAAAGATGAATGGTTAGTGGCTTTACCTTATCTTTCCATTAAGGTTAGAAATCTGATAAATTCTAGTAAGAGGAAGGAAGAGACTGAATTGCTATCAGAATTAGCCAAGGTTAAAGCCAGATCAAAAGAAGGAGCTGAAGAAGAGGGGGAATTTATTAAGGTGGGAAGAAGAAGAAAGAAGAAGGATGCTACTAAGCCAATATCAAGTGGGATGGTTACCAGAAGTGCTGCAAGGAGGCAATCACAGACTATTCCTCCTCTTTCTCAATGAATGGGTTAATTTGGAATGTGAGAGGTCTGGCTGCCTCCGGGCCAAGACTAACTCATTTGATTTTCAAATGGAGGGTTTCTTTTCTTGTTGCTATTGAACCAATGGTTGATTTTACTAAAGCAGATTCTTTCAAGATGGAGTTTGGCTTTACTGATGTTAGTTTTAATACTAGAAATAAAGTGTGGTTGTTTTCGGATTCCAAAAATTTTAACATCTATAATATTACTTGGAATTCACAGTTTGTTCACTTTCAGTTTATGGTTGGGTCTACTACTGGCTGGAATACCGCAGTTTATGCTAAACATACTCATGTTGAGAGGAGGGAACTTTGGGGGCATTTAATTCAGTATGCCAGTAACATTCATGGGCCTTGGTTGGTTGGTGGGGACTTTAACACTATTATGGATAATGCTGAGCATAAGGGGGACTTCATACCTAATCTGACAAGCATGCTTGAGTTTAAGGACTGTATTTCTTAATGTAATCTCATTGATATTTCTTACAAGGGGTGTCAATATACCGGCCTGGATAGGGGTAAGATCAAGAGGGAGACTGTGGAGGAGGTTGGATAGATGTCTTTTTAATGAGTCTTTCCTAGATTCTTTTGATCACATCACTGTTACAAATCTTAATCAAACTCCATCAGACCATTGTCCTATGTTGATACAGTGTATAAATAACTTCCAGTCTGGACCTAAACCATGCATTCCGGTTCCAAAACATGTGGATTTCACATAATTCATTCCTGACTGTTGTTTCTCAAAGTTGGAATAGTTATTTTAGTGGAGGTGGTATGCATGGATTGGTATCAAGCTGCAGAGACTTAAAAAAGACCTAAGGAAGTGGAACAAGGATACTTTTGGCAACATATTTGATGATATTAAGTTCATAGAAGAGGAGGTTGCTACAACTGAGAAGAATTTTATTAATGCATCTACTGAAGATGATAGAGAGGAGTGACAGTTAAAGAAGGCTTTGCTTCTAAGTAAATACAGACTGGAGAGAAAATACTGGAAGCAAAAAGCTCATATTAAGTGGCTTAAAGATGGTGACAGAAACTCACATTATTATCATTCTTTTGTGAAAATCAGAAGGAAGAAACAAATGATTAATAAGATACAAGATTCAGGTGGTAGAGAGCTTACTGAATTACCTGAGATTGGAGAAGCTGTAATTGATTATTTCTCCAATTTGTATGCTGTTGAACCTGTTACCACAAAGAATGATATTTTAAATAGCATCCCACATCTTATCAATCAAGAGGATAATGAATATTGGTGTTCTATTCCTTCAGAAGAGGAAATCAAGACAGCTAT